GAAAGATCGTTGTGGTGTCTTGTTTTCACGAATTTCGCGTACAGAAGATTTTTCTTCTTAATCATTTCCAGACATTCTCGCGTCATCCATTGTTTCCGACCTTTCTTCAGGGTTTCGACAGTTTTATATTTAAAACACTTATGGTAAGTTTTTCTTAACAGGCACATGAATATTTCATACGCCTCGTTAGCGTTAACTGATTTATAGACAGGATCCCAACAAATCTGCGCGATTTCACGCCTAAAAGTGTCTAATGTTTTGTCACTAATTTCCTGTATTTTGTATGATTCTGGAGTTGATACTTTTGCACGATTAAGATACTCGTTGCGATTTTGAAACATGTATATAGGGTAGTGATCACTAATATCGGCAATAACAGTTCCAGATACGGTTGAATCACTTATGTCATTTGTAATAAGTAAGTCGATAAGGCTTTCAGTATCTAAAGTGACACGTGTAGGTTCAGTAATAATATTAGCACACGCAAAGGAATCAAGTAGTAGTTGGAAGTTACGAGTGGTTTCAGTTTGCTGTAAAAGGTTTATATTGCAGTCGCCCCCTATGATAATGTGCAACTTGTTAGTGCACGCATACGTAAGCAGATTTTCAAGAAATTGAAAAAACGCTTCTGTTTTTCCGTCAGGTGGACGATAAACTACCACATATACATACTTGTGACATGCTAGTGATAATGCCTCATAGTCTGGTGTAATCGCTGAAAATTCTGAGAGAAGGCTGCAAACTAAGTGGTCAGTAATTAGTTGCAAAACACCTCCCCCTCGACGAGAGGGCCTGTTTAAAAAGAACGATTTATACGTTGGCAAGCATAGTACCTCATCATTGCACGTGTACCAAGTTTCAGAAATCATGATGATGTCGAATTTAAACGAGAATTCGTCGAGAAACGTAGTTATATCATCGTGCTTGTTGCGAGCTGAGCGAGCATTTAAGTGCATGATACTGCAATATCCACTAGTGTAAGGTATATTGACATCACGTGGTAATATCGCCATTTTAACAAAAGGAAAAAAAAGAAAAAGAAAAAAAAAGGTCGCGCCGAAAAAACGAAAAGTGCTAATCAGATAAGCCTACGGCATGCTAGATGCCCCGCGGCTGCTTGAAGTGGCCGCGTGCATTTTGTGCAAGTCGGCTTCACATGTGATTTGAACTGCACGAGATGTTTCCGTTTCACGCGCAAATATTTTGCCACCACTTGCCCACGCGAAGCGCCAGTTCATTTCCCGTTTCCGAGCAATCGTCATACCCAGCAATTTTTTCAGCTGGGGACAAAGGTGCTCATTTACGAAAACAGACTGTTTAGTTGTGAAACCCAGTTCCTCAGCTGTGAATCGAGTTCTCCTTGCTTTCTTAACGATGGCATCCCTCTTAGCTCGGCGATTGAAAACAACCACGATGTTTTCGTTCAGGAGGGCGTCACTGCCTGCTTTGCTACCCCGATCGGGAACAGCGCTTGCATGAGGGCGTACGTCGTTGTTCTTTGCAACACCTGGGTCTGGTGCCGTGTTACTTTGCGAAGTGGCACTCCTCGCTGGCAAATGGTGGCATATTTCTATGTCTTGTTCACTTATTGACTCCCCCAAGGCGTCACCAACTTTGGCAAGCAATTGCACAAGGTTTTCATTAGGGGTACGTGGGATCCCTTTAATTTCTATATTTTTGTTTCGAGAGTATTGATCCTGAGTAGTTAGGCGCGTGGAATTTTCGTGCACCAACTTTCTCAAACGGTCTATCTCACATTGCATTGCCTCTTGGGACGCCCTGAGAGCAGCGTTTTCCTTTCTAATTTCAGCGCACTCTTGTTTTATGTTTTCGTAGTCTTTGTTCATGTATTCAAGGCTTTTGTTTAACTCTCTGATTTCTTTCCGAATGTCGCGTTTGAAGTCCGCGAACTCAGTACCCATGATTAAAGGGCAAGTTACAGATTCAACAGTGGGCAAAACAAGTACGAACTTTGAAAAATAGGCAACAGAGACAGCGCTAGGATAGCGAATGAACTATACAAAACAGGAGGGCAAATGCCTAACCTGGGAAAACAACAGCAATAAGCGTCTCTGTCGTAGGCTGTCCCTGCTGCCAAGTGATCGAGGGAGGCGTTGCAGCTGTCTTTTTGAAGGGCCAGGGGTGGCCGATGCCACGTGGTATGGTGCCGGGCGCAAAAAGTAGCCGGTCGGTCGGCGCGGCACTCCCGCAAGGCGCTGGATGCAGCACGCTCCGCTATCAACGCCGATAGTCAGCCACTGTACGCCTCGAACACCTGGGAAAACAACAGCAATAAGCGTCTCTGTCGTAGGCTGTCCCTGCTGCCAAGTATCTCAAATTCACTCGAGCACCTGGGAATTTTAGAGGGGCGTGGAGTACATGAGTGCAACAAACAAGAACACTAACGTTTCCGGGAACGCTTTCAATAATATTTAATGGTTGGCTGCCGAACACTGTTCAATTTTAGCTCGTGCGCTGGTCTACCTTAAGAGGTAGAAGTTACTAGTAACACAAATATTTAAAAGCATATTTAACTGACTAACGAAAATTCACTACTTCTTAGTTCTTAACTGATTGAGCTATCACCACCCTTTTCATTTGCAAAGTTTGGCCGTGGATTTCACAAGGCGGATCCACCTGGAATGAATTTCTATGAGTCCATGAGTTTTGAGATAATTTTTGAACATCACATAGAAACGCATCGTTAATCAATATTATTCCCAAGAAAACGCTCTTTCATGTATTGGTGCCCAAAGTTAAGTGACGACATGGTTCAACATGGTTTCGTACAGACCTAGCTTGGCCTCTCCTGTCGAAATAGTGGGAAAACAAAGAAAGAATGAAAAATAGGATGTAATTGCTAAATTTTTGCATATTTTACGGCTTGCTGAAGAAGGTCATACGTATAGAGACATCTCTCTCTAGCCTCGTAGAGACGATGCCACGACCGCCGTTTTAATAAAAATTTCATATTTTTGTCGGTTCGTTAGACTCAACTGCTGACCCGCAGGTTGCGGGATTGAATACCGGCTTCGGCGGCTGCATTTTCAATGAAGGCAAAAATGCTGTAGGCCCGTGTGCTCAGATTTAGGTGCACGTTAAAGAACCCCAGTGGGTCGAAATTTCCGGAGCCTTCCACTACGGCTTCTCTCATAATCATGTGGTGGATTCGGGACGTTAAACCCCACATATCAAATCAAATAAATCGTTGAACCTGCGCTCCGACTGCTGGTAGTCCCGATGGCCGAACTTGACCATTCGACGACAGCCTTCTTTGTACCCAATATCTTATCTGAATTTGTTGACCCACGATTTAGGCTGTGCAACGCGCATGCAACATTTCGATGCATGATCGATATATTCCTCGCAGCTTCAAGTGCCAGATGAAACTTCGTTACCTTGATGCTACTGTGATCCTTTCAGACAACTTTGTGATCGAGATGTATAACAAAGGTTGAATCAATTGTCACTAGTCCCAGCTGCAATGTACTTGGCACACGAAAGTTATTTATTCTGGGCTCTGTCTTTTTCAGAGATGGCGCACTTTCGAATCGCACGACACTTCGTGCTGTTTCTGCCTTTCCTAAACTGAAAATAAAATGCGCCGCAGATTTATGTCCCTTTGGTGCTTTTTTTTATACGTTTCGTTTGCAGTTTCTCCATGATTAAAGCACCTTTGACAGACATCCGCAGTTGCCTCGACTTTTGAGCGTGGTCACCACATGTGGTGATGCATGCAGCGAACTCCGCTTCATTATTAGGTCGCCTCCAATTTTGTGAAATGGCGACCTGATCACGCCAAGTGAGAGAAAAAGAGAGTGATGTTTATTATGACAAAAGAACCGAGAGTGTCACAAATGAAATAATAACGCTTATTTACGTGAATCGCAGCGCAACTGATAGCCCTTGTTGGCTCGTTCTTATACAAGCTGTATCTGTTTCACTTTATTCAAGACGTATCTGCAGGTACCGTTTTATGAGCACACCATTGAAGCCGTGGCGGGTGCATGAGTTGACTTGGCGTCAATGGTATGACGCGGCTTTGCATGACTCTAAACTTCTATGGCTGGCCATGGCATCCAAACTGCTGGAGTGGCCATTTACTTCGATTTAAGCAGACGTTAAATAATGCTCGCTTTAAAAAAATGAAAGTACCTTGGCTGCACTGTGCTTATTGAGTTACGGCATTTTCGGCTAGTAACTTGATTCAATGATAGCTAAAACAGTACTAGCAAATAAAAATGACTTGCTTGGCTCAAAATTTTGACAATTTATATAGCATTTGTTCTTTTGTACGTGCTCCTTTAAAGTTTAGCGCTTTATTGAAGAAAGTATAAAGGTATTTGCTATATGTTATGCAATCTCAAGTCAACACAATTAATTAGACCACAAAAACAAGATCCTTAATTTTACTTTCATTATTTTTCGAAGTTGTCATTCCGAAGAGCCTTCCCCGGTGTTACTCAAAGATATTGTTAATTTGCACGTCCACACGGCAAAGTTACGTACGCTGTGCAACATCTCCCTCCTACAGCAGGGGAAGGTAAGCGGCCGAAGACTGCAAGCAGCAGGAAGAGATTGGGACCAAAACTACTCAGTGAAGTATGGGGGGATGCGGTCGCCAAACTGGCCCTGGTATACCAGCGTCAACTCGTCACTTGAGTCTGGTGGGTGGTCCAGACTGGATGGTTTTGGAAAATGGGACCATCCTACCTCCACTCACAAGGCTCTATACAAGAAATTTTTTTCTCTCCCTCACCGATGAGACTGTCGTAATACTCCTGTGTTCCCGTTGCGACTGTCATTCAGCCAAGCAGATAACGTGCGGTGAGCGGCGTATACGTCGGATGCCATAAATCTCTTCGCCTTCCTTCACTGCATGGAATCAGCAGAAGGCAAAGACGCCAACAACTTGTTTTCGCACGTCTTTTTTTATGACACCCAGGTTTTCCATATGTTGTGCTATCTTATCTCCGCCACTGCATTTACTGCACCACTACTGTCAGCGTGTCAACCGTGCTGCCATACTTGGTGTCCGGACTCCTGGTGTGCTTCGTAGATTTCGCGACAGTGGCCGGCTTCCTCTTTCCCCTTTAATGCAGCGGTCCTCCAGACTGGCCCCGACAAACAAAGACGAGTGAGCTCTCTATCGGATGCTAAAGGATCTCCTCAACCGCGCTTTCCACTTCTGGCTGAAACAACAGCACCACTGTGATGATCCTGAATCGATCTGTCATTTTGACACAGGTAGGCTACAAACAGTGCGCATAGTACTATTGTTCTGATTACAACGTTTTGTTGATTCGAAACTTCAGTTGATATTTTTGAGAAATTGGATGACTACTTGCTAACAATAATAAACAAACGAAGAAGAGTAATAATCACAGGCGATTTTAATTTACCGGGTGTTGACTGGAATGCACGAGTTGCTGGGCCGCTTAACAGGCCTCTTGCAGAAAATCTGCTTGACATCATGATCAAGTACAATTTGGTTCAGGTAGTTGACAAGCCCACTCGAGTTCAAGGACAAACCGAGACATTGTCGGACTAACTATTTTTGTCACAGGAAGTGTTTGATTATGAAATAAGTATCGAGGATGGAATCTCGGATCATAAGGTGGTTGCAGCAACTCTTAAACCAAATAAAAAATTAGAAAAAATAACCAGAGTAAAGGTGTACAATTCTCAGGCCGCAGACGATACCTCAATTCTTGATTACTTAGAAATGGCTTTTGACGCTATCCCACCTACAGATGATGTAAATGACCTCTGGGAATACTTTAAGAAGGTAGTAAACGACTGTTTGTCACGTTTTGTTCCCCAAAGAGAAAAGAGAACTGCAAAAGCTAACCCATGGATTACCAGAAGTATCATTCACCTAAAACGACGACTATGTCGCGCCCGTCAGAAAATACCAAGAAACTCGTCTGTTATTGCTCACATTAGTGCTCAGGTATGAAGAGAAGTCAAGCAATCTAAAAGTAATTTTCAAACTAATATATTGTCTGAATACATATCCAACTCTCCCCAGAAATTTTGGTGGTACCTGTCTAGTTTGCAGTCTGAAATAACTGGGCTTTCTATAGACGGGATCTCCTATAGCGAACCGATTCAGATTGCCGAAGCACTCAATCATTACTTCAGTACTGTTTTTTCTCCAATTATTGATCATTCAAAAAAAGGCTGTATGTTCGATGATACTAGTTCCAATCTTCTTACCGTATCTAAAGAGGGCGTAATGGCATTACTGCTTGAATTGGATCATAAAAAATTTCCTGGTCCGGATATGATTCCCAACGAATTTTTGAGGCGCTACTCTGATTGGGTTTCTAGTTTCTTAGTTAAAATTTTTAATTTATCTTTTTGTACTGCCGCTGTTCCGATTGATTGGTTATTAGCAAGAGTTGCGCCCATTTTCAAAGCTGGTGACCGCCTTAATGTTTGTAATTACCGTCCAATTTCTATTACATGTACGGCGTGCAAAGTAATAGAATATATAATTTCACAATATATATTTCAATATATAGAAAACAATAATCTGTTTTATAATAAGCAACACGGTTTCAGAAAAGGCTTTTCAACCGTCACTCAGCTTTTTGAATCTGTTCATGCTTTCGCTACAGCGATAAACTCAAAAGAACAAGTCGATGTCATAGCAATTGATTTCTCTAAGGCTTTTGATAGAGTATGTCACCAGAAACTTATTCAAAAATGTTAATACTTGGTAATGATCCCCCAATAATAAGATGGGTTGAAGCATACTTGCGCAATAGGTTGCAGTTTGTTGAAATAAGTTGCGCACGTTCTTCTCTTTTACGCGTATCCTCAGGTGTGCCACAAGGCTCCGTGTTGGGACCTCTACTCTTTTTAATTTATGTGAATGATATTGCAACGGTTGTGCCTCCTTTTGTTGATGTAAGGTTATATGCAGATGATTGTCTCTTGTTTTGTCATGTGAAAAGTGTTTCTGATCAAATGCTCCTCAATGATGCTCTTCAATGTATTGACAACTGGTGTGAAAAATGGGACATGAAAATTAATTTTGATAAAACTGTTTGCATGACAATTTCAAATAAAAAACCCCCCTTAACTATAAATACACAATAAACAATAGAGAAATTAAGAGTTCTAATGAGTTTAAATACTTAGGTGTTACCATATCCAGCGGTTTAAAGTGGGACAAGCATATTGACGACATTACAGGACTGGCTAAGCGAAAGCTGGGTTTTCTGAGAAGGAAACTCCGTAATGCAACGCCCTCTGTTAAATTGTTGGCGTATAAGACTATTGTTAGACCAACGCTGGAGTACGCAGCTATCATCTGGGATCCGCATACTAAAACTGAAATTAACAAACTTGAACGAGTACAAAGATTGGCCGCGAGGTTTATTTATTCAAATTACATGAGAACACAGTCTGTATCACTTTTGCTTGCTAGGGCTGACCTTCAATCGTTAGCTACACGTAGAAAAATAGCTCGCTTAAAATTTATTTATGACCTGTATCATAAGAACTACAAGCTGGATCCCAGTGTATACCTGCGCCCCCCAGGACGAGGGTCGGCTCGTACCGATCACTCATTTTCTGTCCAAGCTTATGTACCGCGGGTAGATGTATTTAAGTTTTCGTTTCTGGTGCGATCTATTGTTGACTGGAATGCGCTTCCTCCCGAGGTACTTACAGGATGTAGATCCTCACAGGATTTTCAACGACGGCTGTACTTGTTTTTTGCCTAACATTGTTTGTGTATTGTTCACCTGTTCACCTCCCACCCCTGCTACAGCCCGCAAGGGCTAGGAGTATTGTAAATATTAATATTAATGATTCGCCGTTCTTCTATTATTTAGTTTCTTTTAAATTTTGCATTATTATGACCACGCACTCATGAGGTGAATATTGAGGTTAACTGAAAGCTTTACTTATAATATTAACTATTGCTCATTTGCAAATGTCTTGGCCAAGGTTTTGCAGCGTTTCCTATCCGCCATTCACATGACTAACATGCAAAAACGTTTAGTGTTTCATGTAATGTTTTTTCAATTTAGATGCAGGCGAAAGTTCTGTAGGTCCGTTGTGCTCAGCTTGGGGTGCACATTAAAGGACCGAGGTGGACAAAATTTCCGAAGCCCTTAACTACAGCGTCTCTCATAAACATGTGGTAGTATTGCAACGGTAAACCCCCCATATTAGTCATCAATAATTTTGATGTTTGTTGTTCCTCTTATAATAAAATTCGTCGCACCAAATTTAGAATGTATTCGTGAGAGATGTAGTATAGTACACGGCTCCGAAATTCGAACCTACCTAGGGTACAAGCAACTAAATATAAGTACATGGGTCTTCAGCATTTAGGGCCCCGTGAAAGGCGGCCGCCACTGCCAAGATTTGATTCCGCTACCTATGGTTCGGCAGTCGAACAACATATATCAACTCAACGACCACTTCGAGTGGTTGAGTTGTTATGTTAGCGTGTAAGTTGTTAAATTGCAGGTGACTGTCATACCCTCTAAAGACAGAAAACCGACAAGCGAATTGAATGCAGTTGTTACGAGTGCACGTCACAGCAGAGTCACTATTGACCAACTTTCTCTCTAGGAATAGTTCATGTATTGACTGAGCTCTTTGCATATAAAAGCAAGAATCAAGTATCATTAGAGATGGCAAATCGTTCAACGTATGCTTCAGTGCCTCTAAAGCACGCGTAGCTTCATTCAATGTTTGAACTTGGCTGCTCAATGTAGTGCACCACCAATGAATTAACCTTCAAAATTCCCGAATTGTGCATGTCTTAGATATATGTAAAAAGAAAAAAATTATGTGGACTAAGAGACAACTTGCCGCAGGCAGAGACCGAACCTGCAGCTTGCAGATGACACACCCATGCTCTGGTAATCACGCTTGTTCTCTCCTCCACTTTACATCGGGGACCGATGCGCATGTATGCTTGAGAGTGTTAGTCAGCACCGCTTGTAGCCATCGCGGACAGTGTAGAAAACTCTTTGCCCGCTGGCGTCCCGTCGAAAGTGATCCTTATCCACTAACTCTCAAATCCACTAACTCTCAAAATGAAGGTTTGTAATAGCTGAATCTTGCCGGTACCTACTTACGGAGCAGAAACCTGAAGGAATTACAAAGAGGTTTGAGCTTATACTGAGGACGACGCAGCGAGCGATGGAAAGGAAAATTATAAGTGTACCGTAAGAGACAAGAGGAGAGCAGAGTGGATCAGAGAATAAACGGGGGTAATAATATCATAGTTGCAATCAAGATGAAAAAAAAAATGACATGTGCCCGGCACTTAAGACGAGGGCACGATAACCACTGGTTATTGAGGGTAACTGACTGGACTGCCAGAGAAGGCAAACACACGCACGAGAAACAGAAAGTTTGGGGGACTGACGAGATTGAAAACTTTGCAGGTATTAACGTGGCAGCAAAAGTACAAAACCGAGTTGATTGACAGATCTAGGGAGAGAGAGGCCTTTGCCCTGCAGTGGGTGTAGTCAGGCTGACGATAGTATTGATGATCGAGCTCTGCCGAAGCTTTATTGGAGAGCTTTGTGTGGGGTAAACGATGTGAGCTGCGTTATCGCAGCGAGAATTAATATCATCGGGCAGGCGGCAGCAGCGCTGCCGAATAACGTGGCTTGATACCGCGCAGTTTTCATCGTATGTCTAGTAGTGTGCCTCTGTGTTGTGCCTAAAGATCGGGAAGGATGCCACGCACCACGATGTACCTAGGTGTCAATTCGGTTACAAGAAATCGACAAGAAGTGTCGATGTTCTGGCTGGCTAGACACGGTGAAGGGCAGAAAAAGTTGAACCTCACTATACCACGACGAGAAACTGGTGGCCTCACTTTTGATCAACCGCAATAGCAGATGTGCCAATAGGACGTCGTTCAGATTCAGATCTTTTACATGGACCACTGGCTAATCGGAGGAGTGCTCGTGCAGTCGCCTCGCAACATTCCTAGACTTTTGCTGCACGCTGTACCGAAGACGTTCCATGGCCTCCCGGTGTGTTTGTATATAGGGTAAAAAGGTCGAAAACCTGCCCGTCTACCAAGTGCCACCATGAACCGCCTGCTGAGCTGGAGACCGTCAAAGCTGCACCGACACTGTTCACTAGCCCTATTCACACAGCTGCCGTGGATTGCACACTGACCGCTTCTTCCTGTCTTGATGTCAATAAGACAGAAGCTTGATTAGTTTGATTATACCTCGCCGTTTATTTCATACAGGCAC